CATATTGAACCAATACTTGGCTCTCACCCATGGTAAATCAAAGTAACAAGCAAACATCCCACATATCTAAGTATCACAATTAGGGTTAAGAATTAGTAGAGTCACCGAGCCTAGGTTCTTCATGATAGTCAGAACTGAAGAACACGTCTCAACTGTGATCCATTCAATGCGACGCAGCGCACTAGTATAAACCAATAGCCAAGACAAGCTATATCCAGTTTATACTACAACCTAAACCGATAGTCATGTCCATAACTATCTCAGTTGTGAATACCATTTATATCTTATAAGGGACCGACAATGTAATCTTCTGTGTGACTACTAACACACCACATTGTCTACAATATAAGATAACTGGACATTTAGCATACAAGCAATCATAAAGAATGCAACAATGTGAAAACATTTATTTCAGTCAAATGGCAGCAGACAATAGGTCATGCTATAGGATGACACGACGGCAGTGGAGGCGCCGCGCGAGGCAACAAATGAAGTTGGACGGTCACTGTGTGTGCATAAATGTGTGTGTGTGTGTGTAGTTGAGAGAGAGTGAGAGTGACGGGAGAGAGAGTGTTGAGAGTGTGAGAGAGAGAGTTAGGGTGGGGTAGGTGGGGTGGTTGGGTTGAATGTGCTGGAAAATTAATTTTCCAATAGAATGTTGGATGGTGTTAAGTGGGAGACGTATTTTAATCAGAGAGTGGGACCATTTGTTTCATTGTATGTGAAAATTATTGCAATGACTTTAATGAATGTATATTTTTTATATTTTTATAAGTCATTGGATCATGTGATCTAATGGCTACTATGTATTTTTATTTTTTTCGCTGAACATCTTCGCGCGAAAGCCGTTGCGCTAACGCGCATCTGCTTTTCTGCTGCTTCGTTCGTTCCCTCTTTTCTGGTTAGTTTTGATTGACTTTCTTCTACTAATTCTCTCTCTATCTAGAGTGCGAGAGAACTCATTTAATGTTAAAAAAATAGTTTCTCGCCTATTTTTTAAGCTAGATATGAATATGGTATTATTATGTTATATATGTTAATTGATTAATATTGATTACAATCAAATAAATTAAGGCATGGGTGGAAAAATTAGTTATGGAATGAGATAAAGAAATTTGTATCTATATATATTATTTAGCAATATTCAGCATTATCTATTGTTATATTACTCGCCTTTTCATTAATGTTTGAACTTTAAGTGACTCAAGCACAAGTATCGTACAAATTAAATATATAAGGTGATATATAAATTAGATAACTTCTTACAGTAGTGCTATGGAGCCAATGGTTGGCTCTTTTATGGAGCCAACCACCAATCAAACATCTCCACATGGGGATGTTCCACATTAAATTAATGTTGGACATCCCCATGTGGAGATGTTTGATTGGTGGTTGGCTCCATAAGGGAGCCAACCATTGGCTCCATAGCATTATTGTAACTTCTTATATTAAATATATATTATACTAGTACAACGCCCATGTATTACACGGATGCTTGCTATTTTTTTTTTCTTAAAATCTAAAATTAATGAGAAAAAATAGTTGAAAATTTAAATACCTTTTATAAAAATATATATTATCTTATATTTAGTATGACACTTTTTATTTGTGCAAATTACTTGTGTTATTTTATAATAATTTTTTAACTTACAATATATAAGTTATAATTGCATTAAACATAAATATATCAATTGAGAAATAATTTTATTTTTCTAAAAATTTTAATAAATATTATTATTTTTTATCATTATAAATATAAATATAATTTATTTATTTCATATAAACACAATATGGATGTCAAATCGAAGATCATCAAAAGATGATTAATATGATATATTATATATGTAAAATCGATGATAAATACAAAAGTTGTCAACTTTTAAAATACATTTATAATTCAATAGCTAATTGAAGGAAACAAATCAAAAGTCATGGATATATTAGTCACTTAGTGTCTCACTACGTAAAATTACAAAGAAATAAAGGGTTATATTAGTACAATTGATATTAAAATACCTAAGTTAGCTAAATAATATTTATAGAATGTCCAAACCTAAATTATTAATTATTAATATATGAATATTATTTTTCCAAACCTAATTACGAAGCATGATTTTTTGCCAAGTAGGATTCCAAAGCACCAGAAGCAGCCACGTAGGCTCAGCGTATTCGGGAATAATATATAGGGAGGATTATTTTCAAGTACACATATGCCCAAGGAGGAAGTACTAGTTAATATATAAATGGGTGAAAAAATGAAGTTACAACCATCACTTTTGAGACATTAATTCAGTCCAAGAAATTTATATTTATCATTTTTTCCTACACAAAAACAGAACAAATAAGGTAATCTCGCCTTTAACCATTATGATAAACGGTATTTTGTATTATTCATTCATATAATATCTAATTTTTTTGCCATAATAACGTGTCTCCTGCATCCACGAGTACATCCTGGTGAAAAGAAAGACTGGAAGACAGAGAATAGGATACATAGATTGTTTTCTCTTAATAATATCACAACACATTACTCATGAACATTTTCACCTGATTGTGCCATGGCCCCAAAATGCATTAGTAATTCACAGTGGATTTGATTGCGTCCAATATCTGCATGCAACCATATTTTCTCATTCATATCTTCAGTACATTTACTTGAAACTTGTATGTCCACACACACCATCTACGAATCAATCTCACCTTATTCTTAGTCGGCATGTAGAACGGCTCAAACACGAGTGGAAATGGCGTATCCAGGCCGCACACTCTAGCTACTGGAGCTTCTAACTGCCAACCGAGATTTATCAACCGAACACAAAACATCAAAAAGTAAATTTAGCTCAAATACCTTCTTCATTATATAATCATTTTCAGCTAATCAACTAGTCATACATAATGTTCAGTGAAGAGGGGATAATTTTTTCAAGATTCAGATTTATATCAACTAGTCAGTACATACAAACTAAATGCAATCCTAAGCAAGCACGTAAATTTATTATACTTCTTGATACGAATTCTTACCCTCAAAAAGCAACGGTCAACTATGGAGGCAGAAATTTCAGCGCCAAATCCACCTGTTATAGGAGCTTCATGACTAACCTGAACAATCAATTACTAAAATGCTATAAGTCAATGAATGAGAACTTATCTGCACCACAGAGATCAGCAAAAAATACGTACCAGAAGTCTTCCAGTTTTATTCACTGAGGCCTCCACAGTTTCCTTGTCCCATGGAATTAGAGTCTTTAGGTCTATTAATTCGCACGATATGCCATCCTACAGAATCTTGAAGTTTTCGAGCATGAGAAGGCCGTTCGGGAGAATTAGATATCACAAGTACATGTGGATTACAACATGATTCCAAACGAAATTTCACATACAGTAACAATAATCTAATCATGACTCAAAGAAAAATCTAACCTTGAATAACCTAACAGAATTGTAAATGGAAGCAAAATTTACTTGTTGAACTATGACTGAGAAGTTTCTAAGATTCAATCGATATCACTCATGCTCCCATTAAGATGTAAGTTCAAATTAGTTGTGAAGGTCATCTAATAAACAAGCATATAAGCGGAGGTTTAATGCATTGTTCATATGATGGGACCCGAGTACCTTTTCAGCCTCAACACAAGCCTGTTGCATGACTGAAAGCTGAGCTCCCCATCCAACAAGTGTTATGTCACTGCCTTCATGAATCACCTGAGTTTTGTGTGTTTTTTTTTTTATTTAGAAACAGTAATTATTTGTTAAGGAAAAGGGCACAAACAAAAGTCAGCATACCTCAGCCTCAGATAAAGGCAGCATATAGTCTTCATCTGGGACTTCTTCTACCGCAAGCCGGTACAGCCACTGAGACCATTTATTTAATCAAGTTTTTTGTGACCTTAAACATCAAATCGTTTCAACTGATGACATCGATATATACCTTAGGCTCAAAAAACACAACTGGATTTGGATCACGGATGCAAGATAGTAGTAATCCTTTAGCTTGTCGAGGACTACGAGGGATTACCACCTGAAAGGAAAAGGGCATCGTTTGAAAGGAAGATATTTTCCATGAGAAGCAAGGCATAAAAGTATCACAAAATTATATTTGCAGTATCATTTATTTATTTCTCAACAGATATAAAGCAAGGAGAACAAAACTCAATTGATAAAAGTTTCCATATGCACGACAAGACGTCTTAGGAATCCAAAACATTTGACGATTGTTGGCTGCAAGCATATTCACTTTGGGATGCTCGATCGAACAAAATTCAAATGATAAAAGAAGGGAACGTCACCTTATAATTACCTTAACCATTTTCTGAATTGTAAATTGAACGCCAAAACAATTTGAAATGTTAAAAGCATATTTGTTTTGGGATGCTCGATCGAACATAAATTATAAATCTGGTCGAACAAAATTCAATTGATAAAAGAAGGGAAAGTACCAACCACCTTATAATTACCTTAACCATCTTCTGAATTGTAAATTCAACTCAAACAAAACTTGAAATGTTGAAAGCAAAACACTTGAGTTAAAACGTCCCAGCAGGGCATACCGCATACCTTAATACCCGGAACATGACAGAAAAAAGCTTCAGGGGATTGGGAATGGTAATGGCCGCCATGACCCACAGCACCATAAGGTGCTCTGATTGTTAAACCTAAAAAGTGCACGCACTTTAAATGGTAAAACATCATTTAAATAACTAAATAAAAGCATGGTTCACATGTGGAATTGTTACCTCCACAGTTAAATTGATTACCACTCCTGTATCTAAACTTAGCAGCTTCATTGACAATCTAAAGAGTAGAAATAAACCAAGTTCAATTAAGAGTTCAAATTCATAGGCGTAAAAAGTGTGAAACAAAGAGACAGCACATACCTGATCGAAAGCTGGGAAAATATAATCTGCAAATTGAATTTCAGCTATTGCACGGTTTCCCTAGAATTTGCATTTTTTTCCAGCACAGAAGGAAACTTAAAAAGTAGTTCAAATTTCAAACACAATTGACAAGTTAGAGCAGTGAACCTTAAACACCTACCATAGCTGCCAAACCGATAGCAAACCCAACAATGCCCTGCATGCAAAAATTGCAACTTAGAATCGTCAAGTAACACAAGTATCATTACCACAATCACCTATAAACCCCATACAAAATCAATTTAACCTTAGATACAGACAGTTGAGTAGACACATAATTCGGCTGCTAATGCTACATACAAGGGAGCAAACTGAGTAAAATGAAAGGCACATAAAATGAGAGCACCTGCTCACAAAGAGGAGTGTTGAAAACTCTGCATTTTCCGAACCGATCAGCTAACCCGGTCGTGCAGCGGAAAACGCCGCCAAATCCAACATCTTCTCCGAATACGTAAGATCTTAACAAGAACCCGAAATTCACAAAGGCCGTATCAATATGGATTTAAAACTAGCTTGAATTGAATCACAAATAACACCACCTCCTTAGAGCAAAATAAATAAAACGTCCTTACGATTAGGGCTGCAAACGAGTCGAGATATACCGATTCGTTCTGAGCTCTCTTAGCTCGAGTCAAAGCTCGACTCTAGCTCGAGTTTGACCGAACTCGAGTCGAGCTCGACCCCATATTTTGCAATAATAAATATGATGAAGATGGAGAGAGAAAGGTACCGATGGTCGGTTTCCAAAGCAATGTGAAGGGCTTGGTTGATGGCGGAGAAAAGGTTGATGCTGTTATCACCATTATTATTATTAGTATTCGTCGTTGACAGCCCCCTAACAGCAATACTGCTCCATTCTTCTCCTCCACCAGTGATAATATTACGGTATCTTCCGATTCTCCTCATCAAACCCATTTCAAACCTTTTTTTTTTCAAATTTGAATTGCAGAGTAAGCTCAGAAAATTTTGAGACCAAATTTATTTATTTTTGTTTACATTTATTTATGGGATAAATTTATTATTTGGGTAATACCCATCCCAATGAATATCCCATTGCATAAATAAACGAGATTGAGAGTGCCAACATGGGTTGTGCTTATCGTCTCTCTCTCTCATCCTATATTTTTATTTTTATTTTTATTTTTATTATAGGCTTCTGCCAAACCTCCACATGCCTAGTTTTTCTTCTTTTAAACAGTGGCCTTTTAGCTGTAAAAAAATGAATCTACTGCAATCGGATTGTTTTCTTATGGAGCCATTCATTGCTTAATATATTGACACATGTTCAAATTATATTTATTGTAAGACACGTGTCAATACACTATTGGTTAATAAGTGTGGATTGCTCCACAAGCCGAGCCATCCGATTGCTCATAGCAAAACTGTCTACTCACCTCCTTCATTATAATAATCTACTCACATCCACTACTACTTTCTCCTAACCTATATGTAGACTAAGAGTGTGAGATTGATTGTTAAACCATCTTTATCCCCAATTCAACTCAACCTAATTTAATAATTAAAAATTATTTCTCTCTCTTTCACATACATAACTCAATCTTGCAACTTAATTTATCTTTATCCTCAACCCAACTCAACCTGCATATTTATTTTATTTTAATTTATATAAAAATTACAAATATATTCTAAAATATATCAAGTGTGGTCTCTATTTGTAGAGAATGAAAAAATATGAATTTTAATTTTTTTTAGAAACAAAAAAATACACTCATCCAATAAAAATGGGACAAGTGTCTCATTTTTTTTCACAATACCGGTCGCGCAACCATCATGACCTTTTCCTTTTTTTTTTAATTGTCGTGACTCATTTATTGGGTCACAGATAAAGTTAGTCATACAATGTCGGGGTGTCGTGTCAAGTATTAGCTTAAGCCTTTGGCTTCTTTCTTCGCACAAAAAAAAAATAACAAATAATGATAAATATTATATTGGTTAGGGCTGCACATTCGGTCAAAACCCAACCGAACCGACCAAAAATTCGGTTTTTCGGTTTGCCCAGTACTAAAACCGACGGTTCAGTTCGGTTAAAAACCGAAAATTTATCAATTTTTTTGGTTCGATTATCCGATAAAATGGAAAAATGACAAAAATAAAATTTACAAATAGAAAAAAAAATAAAATAATATATACTACTTAATAATTTTACCAAAACAAACTAAAAAAAACTTGTCCCAAAATACAAATTTATCAAGTCTTTTACATGATAAAAATAACAAGTCTTTGCCACTCGCAATAGCAATAATAATAAACAGAGTCCACGTTACAAACTTCTCAAAGTCTCCTAGTAACCAAAAGACCAACATATATAAAAGGAACATTGTAAATTAGTCATTGACATCTTTCAATCTTCATTCCTTTTGCTCTTAGCATTGTCAGTAGTGGAGTAACTCGAAGTCCTAGAACATCCCCAAGGACCTGAACCGTCTCTTTTGCGTTTTGTACCTAAAATATGAATAATTATGCAATTAATCAATATCCACAGCATAATAGAATTCCACATTCAAGTTAATTTCATAATTAAATTAAGCATTCAAGATAATTTAAGAGAAATAGTAGAAGTAGCATGCATTGGATATTTGCTAATAAATACATGTGAGAAGATTAATTAATCAATTGGCTTGATTTATTCATTCCAAACCTTCGATATCTCATTAAAATACACCTAACTTGATATACAACAACAACAACAAAGCCTTTTAGTCCCAAACAAGTTGGGGTAGACTAGAGATGAAACTCAATAGAAACAGTGGTAAAAATAAAAAAA